GGTTAGTAGTATATAGTCGAATACAAGAAATAGATATATAGAATATATAGACTGTATCTAGCTAGCTTTCTAAATTACTTCCTAACGCATAATAGTTTTCTATCATTCAAAGCTGGAATATATAGCTATAATGTCCTGTCACCTTTCACAGGACCACAGAAACCAATGTTAACGCAGATACCACATTTACCAATGCTAAGAAATTCCATGCATTTTTTATTCATAATACCCTAGCCTTGTACATTTTAACACCCAATTAATAAAAAATTTGGCTCCGCTGTTACGGTTACACCGTCAAAGAAAAATGGTTATGCTCTATAAATTCTTGTGCACATTAAATTTAATTTGTTTTTCCTTAATAGCAAAATAACACAAAGAAAGTGCATAAGATTTTGAGATTCACGGGCAAATGATCCTCTAGCAAATCTATTCTTTCCAAAATAGTCAAAGTTATCTTAAGGTCACATTGCTTAAGCAATAAGCATTATGTAGGATTATCAAAAGCAAAAAGGCTAGGGTACTATTTAGTAAATTTAGAGGCAGATTTAGAATTTAACTGTATAAATTCAACCTTATGATTCTTATTAGTGAAATCATTATACTTTTAAGGTTATGAGATCATACTTAATATTTGTTGCAATTTTAGTGTGTTTTCATACATAATTCATGCTCCAAATTGAAAATTATGTGTTTAATTAAACCCGGTATCACTATGTTGGATTTAAACCCGGTATCACTATGTTGGATCCGCCCCTGACTACGATATATTTGAAGGAAAAAGAAGAGCATGAGAACACCAAGGAATTTTCACAAATTTCCAAAATTTTAAAAACACAGGACCTCAGTCCAAGAAATCCAAAAAGATACTTACAAATTGTGGACCCTAAAAATGAGATAATATTTAAAAGAGCTCAATCAAAGTATCCAACAACATATTTTCATGATTTATGAATTACTACATCCCAAAGGAAAGAGAAAAAAGAAAAAAGAGCAAATAATTGTAGGTGAAAAGTGCATATAAATGACATTAGCACCAAACAAAAATATAAATCTGTGAAAGCAACACAAGAATCTTCTCATAATCCAATCACTTCCATCCAAATATCTCATCAGCCAATCGCCAACCTCCACGTCACTACATGACCCCACCATGGTAAATCCACCATTTACCTCAAAATCCAACGGTTAAAATCATCTTTAACCAATAACAACAACAATATAATCCCACTGAGTGAAATCTTCGAAGGATAATGTATATGTAAATTTTACCGTGAACAAGACGATGACCTGTTTTTTTTTTTTTTTTTGCACAAAACCCCAAACTACCCTTCCTTCTACATCACCATAGTCTACACTTTGGTCCTCATTCGTCTTTTTACAAACTTCAGTATCACTGTCTCCAGCTCACTCTAACAATTATTCTACTGCTAAAAATAGCAGTAATCTCCTACATCAGCTATCCGAAAACAATGATTCATGTCGGAATAAATCATACGGTGCCCATAAACTATCCAACGGACATGGTTTCTTTGAATCTAATCTTAACCATGGTTTCCCTTTACCACTCCAATGTAATAAACTAACTGGACCTGGATGTAAATCCCTACATTGCCCTTCAATATTATCACCTCCTAATCCATGTTGGTTCCATTTATGCTCCACTTGCTTTACATTTCCCGCGAATACTAATAGAAATGGTGGCAATGAACCCAATTCGTATATTCTGTACCTGTTAATAATAACAACAACAACAATTAGTCTCAGTTCCAAATAAATGAATCCTTACTGATCATATCTATTTAATACATGTTAATGCTAACAAAAATTACATCTCAATTCTCTACTTTTTTTCTCTATACTGTTATGATTATGCATATTTACTTGAGCCGAGAGTCTATTGAAAATAGGCTTTCTAACTGTACAGGTAGGGATAAAACTGCGCACTCAATATCTTCCCCAAATCTAACAGTATCTATTCAATAAAATACAATAATTATGTCTTAAGTTCTCTACATTTCTTTCTTTATATTGTTGTGATTATGCATACTAGCTTTGAGCCGAGGGTTTATTGGGAACAATACTGGAACAAGGTAGGGGTAAAGCTGCACAGTACTCTCCACAAACTACACTTGTAGAACTATACGGAATATGTTATTGTTGTAGTTACGTCTCAGCTTAAACAAATGAATCAATGCTGACCATATCTATTTAATTAAATTCATTTTTTGTATTATTAGAGTGTGTTTTACTATTTTCTTCATTTTTTCAAATCCATTTGCAATTAAATAAAATTTGTAATTGAAAACTGATTTTTACGAATATTTATAGTAAAAGTAAATAATTTTCAACAAAATTGGAGTTACTTTTTTCAAGTAAAATTTATGCAAACACAATTTGAATGTCCAAATAATCCTTTTTCTACTGCAACTTCCCATAATATTTGTTTTTATCAATTTCAACAAAATATTATCCAAATGGCAGCCAGCATAAACCCTCTAACCAAATAATTTACACAATTTAACATGATATTAGCACAGATAAATTTTTAAATAATTCAAGTCCATTCAACTTTAAATGATACCCGTTAACATGTTTCATCCAAAAAACAAATTATTTTTTTCGAAATCTAAAAGAACTTTTATACTTGTTAAGAAGTGTTAAGACATATTTATACAAATTAAAATACAGTAATATTTCATTGAAAAAATAGGTACCTCTTTTGAACTCTCATCCAATGCTCGAGTTTGCGTGTATAGCCATTATTCCGCCATTTTTGCAAATCAATAACCATAACCCCAGTGTTAAAATAACAAGGAGTCCGATTCTCAAACGTGTTAGAAAACGTCGGGTGGAACCAAAACTTGTTCGTAAAATAATAAGTAAAATTAGCATGACAATATTCAGGCGCACCTAATACACGACCGTTAAGATCAATATTCCAAAGCTTAGCAATATCGTCAACAACAATGAGATCAGAATCAAGGTAAATAATCCGATTTACTGTGGTAGGAAGTAAATCAGCAAGGTAAATACGAGCGTAATTTAGCGGTTGGTCTAAAGCACGGCGAACAGAAGAGGAAATCAAATGCCGGACTAAAGTTGGATTGAAGTTGTAGAGCTTGAAATTAAGGTACGGGAAAGTTGAGGTAATTGTTTTGTTAAGGTTGTTAAAGTGACGGTGAACGGCGAGGAAATGGAAGAATGTGTTTTCAGGACACGTGGCGTGTTGTAGAACGGAGAGTACGCCGGCGATTGAGCCGCGGAGGTAAGGGGAGGAGTAATCTAAAGTCATTGCTATGTGAATAGTTGAAGAGCAATTTTTGCCGTTACGAAATGCTGGAGCTTCACGGAATTTCGGAGCATCGGAGGCGGTGACGGTGGCTGTGACGGTGGCGGGAGGATGAAGAGAGAGGAGAATGAGGAGGAGGATGGTGGTGATGAGGTAGTATCCCGGCGGCATAGTGGTGGCGACGGTGGTGTAAGATTTTTAGAGTTGTGTGGTCAATGTTGTAATGAAAGAGAGAGAGAGAAAAGGATATAATGTTTGCTTTGGGAAACTGAAGAAAGGAGAATAAATGTTTATGTAAAGTGACCGTTGAGCCCATTGAATAAAATATGCTGACGTGTCTTAATTTGAGTAATTTCTTCATTTAAGTATTCTTTTTTCTATTTATTTGGAGAAGGAATAATCTAACTTGATTTTTCACTTTAAAGGATTCGAGGCTTTAAAAAAGATGTTAATAAGAACAAAAATAGGTTAACCGTTAAATGAGTTTTTTTCTCTAGCTTTTTCAAAAATCGGTTATAAATTAGTTAGTATAAAGCAATAATTTCTTTTACGTGTATATATATTTACTAAAATTTTGTAGTAATTTTCTTATAAGACTTCTTTGAAAGTGCACTGATTGACGTGTCTTAAAAAACTCTTAAAAAAGTTATTTTAAATTCAGATGCTATAGGTTATCATGTAACTCGCAAATTTGAATTTAAGATTTTTATAATAACATTTGCATAAATCTCTCGTGCTCGTAATAAATTAAGAGCGATGCAGATAACTCCTGAAATCATGTAAGTAGTAAGTTGGTACTACTAGTTTTTAGTAGTATAAAATAGAAGGATAATGTAGGTGTGTCAGCTTCAATATGTTCGGAAAAAAAATATTGTTTTGAATATCGTGTAAATTTTTGTAAAATATATTTTGCAACAAAAAAAATAGATAAGTTTTATAAAAAGATTCACAAACTTGAAGAGTGTGCACATTTACTCTTTAAAATTAATTGTTCCTATACAATTACAAGGGTATATCGGAGATTTCAATTGAGGAGGAGAAAATGGTGCCAGGCTGGAATGCCGCGTATATGTGCTTGTTTGATTGTGATTTGTTTCTGACTGAAAAGTGAAAAAACAGAAATCATGTGGTGTTGGCGGTTTCACGGACTGCTTCTGTGAGCCCGTACTGGTGGGCCGTACATAACCTTAACCCATTTGGGTGAAGATCTAACGGCATAGATTGCATTTTGGACATGGATATGAATCCCTTAAGGCTCGTTTGGTAGGAGGGATAAGGAATAATTACTCTTGATAGGGGTGTACATAGACCGAATTGGTCAAAATCGAACCAAACCAACTATATTGGTTTGGATTGGTTCGTTTTTGTCGGCTTTTTCAGGTTTTTTATTACTTAAATATTATTTAAATTTTACTTTGTTAAATTTTTGATAAGTAAATATATTTTTAGTAAAAATTTAAAAAATTAATAAACACATTATCGACTAAAATATTCTTATGGGAGAATTTTCTTAGTAACACATTATAGTTATTTTCTTAGTCACCTGACAATAATTTTTCGTTAATGTACACTTTCAAGGTTAACCGAATTTAGTAATTAAACATAAAAGTCAATATGATACCTAAATAATAATAACCACTTCAAATTAAAATAATAGATCTTGACATATGAATATGGAAGAACAAAGAAATTGACGCATTTCNGATTACAAAGACTTTTCCTTATGACTAAATCTAGTCACAACATAAACTCAAGGAGTTTACGGATTTACAAGAGGATTCCTAATCAAAATGCTTCTAGGTAAGCAGTTTAGGAGATACAGTAAGTACAATAACAAGGTTACAACTCAACTAGGACAACAACAATCTATCTTTTAGGAACTGGTCCGTAGTAGTGTTCAACCTTGTTCTTTAAGCTTGTGAGGATTGATTTTTCTGTTTTTTCAAGAGACTTGAATGAGAAACAGAAGCCTTCAGTCGTGTTTTTGTATAACGCTCATTGTGGGTACATCTTGATCACATGACTTGAAGTGATGTGAGTACTTTGTTTGGTTAGAGAATGAGTGGGCGGACAGTGCAGTGCAGTGCGGCAGAAACAGTACTGTCAGTCACTTCATTTCCAGCTGTGTCCAATTGACTTGTTCCTAGCTCCTGAAGCTGTAGCAGTTCACCTTTAGCTGGAATCCGTTAAAGCTTGCAGCAATCCAAGTAGGTCAGGTTCCCTATGTGGTTCTTAACTGTAAGTTTGTTAGATCATCAAAACATAAGGCAAGAGTATTTAAGATCTATCAATTTCCCCCTTTTTGATGATGACAAACTTAGTACTTAGTTCCCTCTGAGACTATGCCTTGTCGTAACAAAGGATTACATGATAGGACTCAGTAACTTAAGAACCAGCTCCCCAATGTGTTCCCCCTGAGTTCTATAGTATTCTTCCCCCTTTTGGCATCATGAAAAAGAACAACAACACAAAGAAGTCTAGCTAAGCTAACTCATGCCACATATGTGCACGCAAACATGATAGAGAATAGAACACACACAGAGAGAGAGAGTACTGGACATAATTAAAAAGGATTCATATTAATAATAATTTAATATGCCTCTGCCTTTTGAAAAAGGAGGAGGCAACATTGGACTTGTTAACATGAGCAGCAGTAGTACATCCCAACCATCAAAAAGAAAACAAAAACATCCACCAAACATCAATAAAGAAATAGAGAAAATAGAAGAAACATATCCAGAAGACTGGTCACTGAAGGGGTTTTTAGGGGGCACTAGGAGGAAAAGGCTTGGTAGCTGCAGCAAGTGTCTGGAGAACAAGGTCTATTCGGGCGTTTCCGACTTTTGCTCATTGAACAGTTCAGCCTTCAGGTTCTCAATTTGCGCCCTGAGATCAGCATTTTCCTGTGTCAAAAGAACCACTTCATCATTCGACATGGGAACCCCTCGCGCTTGCTGACCTTCCAGGATAGCACTCCTGGCCTTCAACCGACGGATTTCCTCAGCTGCAGAGTTCTGGGCATTGATGAGCTGAGAAACAGTTGATGTACTTCCTACCCCCCATACTTTTCCACACACTCGCACTCTTCCAAGGTTGTCTGTGAAAATATCAGCTTTCGAGTTCCCACTTTACCTATTCCCAGTGGAACCTTAAAGAATTTGAACACCGGAGTAAGCAAGAATCCATAGGGAAGCCCATGATTACCTTCCTTGAAGGTGGCAACCTTCTGCATGTGTTCAATCATTATGGCAGGCAGACTCACAGGATTAAAACCGTCCAGTTGCTCCATTAGGAATAGGTCAGACTTGGAAGTCACGGACCTCCTTTCTGCTCGAGGCAACAGGACTTTGTTAACCAACTCAAACAGCAGCTGGTAGACAGGGAGTAGTGCTTTCTTATGGATCTGGTCCCCTTTCTGATTAGCATTATCTTTCACCGCTGCATTTCTGAAGTTATACTGACAAACATCTCTTGCACTATTTACCCCAACTGTAGGAACTTTCAAAATCTCTCCAAGCAATTGCACATCAAAGACGATACCCCATTGACCAAGGCACATACATGATTAGTATCAACTGGAAAGAGACTAGCGAAGAAACTTTGTACCTCCTCTTCGTACACTTTAGGTGCATCAATGTGAAAAAGATGCACCCATTGTTGAAACTCGACCATTGCCAGAATTTGGCGCATTTCGGCCATCTCAGAGATTGCGGGGTCAAACGTACGATGCAGCAGGACCTTTTGATGCCTCAGACACTCAGAGCCAAGGCTGACTTCACTTCTCATTTTCTTCACAAAACTAGGTTCTTCAATAGTTTCAGACTTGCGTTTCCTAAGCTTTTCTCCACTGATCTTGCCTTTTCCCTTGGACTTCGCTAGTACATCCTCATCACTCACTACCTTCTTCATCTTGGACTTAGATGTTGATCCTTTCTCCATTGAAACAGGCTCGAGGACTGCCTAACAAGGGTACCAGGTTCCTCAGGAGTTCCTTCTCCCACCTCGACTACAGGGATAGCCTCATTACTAACATGTACACCATCCTTCACCAACTTTCTTCTTTTCTTCTTACTACTCTTCTTGCTTTTTTTGGAGAGCATATTCGTAGGCCACTTTGACTTGAAGCCTGGTAGTAGGTCGCCTGATTTCAGACTCAGGGGTGGAGACAACCCTTTGCTTACATATGAACGCATCAAGGGACACGTTGTCCAGGTCTTCTTCATCACTAGATCGCATTTCAGGTGCTTGAATTTCCAGGGGCACAACATCGAATGCAGGAACAGCACTGTC